TGTGTGTGTGTGTGTGTGTGTGTGTGTGTGTGTGTGAACAGCGCATTTTTGTTTAGATTTTGTATCTAAACTTGTTCCGGTAATTTTATGGCCATTTACTGGTATTGCTGTGTGAAAGGGGCTTATGAGCGAGTCAAGAAATCATTCACTCAGCGGATTCGCTGTAAAACCCACCTAGTCGTTCATGACCAAAACAATAGGCTATTAAAATTTATACATACATATCTATATTAAAAAAAATCGAACAAACAAGTGTTTTTAGTTCTTCGACATGTCCTTGTTGTGTCAGCAGATCACAAAGTTCACAAACGAGTTCATTCAGTTCATAAACAAGACGTTTTGTTCTTAACTCAGGCCCCGGAGGTCCACTTTCCTGCAGAGTTTAGCTCTAACACTAATAAAACACACATGAACAAGCTAAAACAAGGTCTACAGGATTACTAGAAAGTTGCAGGCAGGTGAGTTTGATCAAGGTTGCAGCTAAACTCTGAAGTGACATTATAAAAGTGGCGCTATGATGTGACCAAAAACAAGTAATGTCTTACAGAGGCCAGACGTCGTCCCGCAATTGACAATGTCTTCGGTAAGGAATGGTGCATGAACCCCTGGAGACACGAGGAGTCAAATGTTGGTGACCAAGAGGACACACATCTGGACTCTTCGGTCAACACAGAAGAGGTTGGTCTCATACTTCTGTTGATATACATGAAGCAATGTCAGTTAACTAGTTCTCTGTTTTACTTGCTCTCCTTTAGCCAGTAGATTTGCTGGACGACGAACCAGATATGATCATGATCAAGGAGGAGACATTTGAAGATTGCTCTGGGAAAAATAACCCTGAGGAAGATGAAAGTTGCAGTTTGAGAGGTTTGTGATGTGAGAACTTGAGAACAGTTGCTGTTGACTCTTTTTTTTTATATTCAGATGTTCATGTGTCATTGATTGAATTACAGGACCTGCAGTGACCAGTGATGAGAGGTGTGTCGCCCAAAGCTCTGATGATTTTATCACATACATGGTACCTTCAGATGACCAAGTCCAATCGAACGTACACCAGACACAAGCTGAAGAACAACCTCTTGATGGAATGATCTCTACACAAGGAGACAGCGCAACAGAGCAAACTTTCCATAGTACACACGACCACACAAGTATTTCGGAAGAGAAGAGGTTTGAGTGTGTATTCTGTCGACGAACCTTCAACAAATTAACCTACCTGAAAGCACACATGCGAACACACTCCGGAGAAAAACCTTACGTCTGTACAGTTTGTGATAAAAGATTTGCTCAAAAAACGTACCTCAGAATACACCAGCGCACACATTCTGGTGAGAGGCCGTACTCGTGCATGGAGTGTGGAAAGTGCTTTGCTCAAAAGAGCTCTCTAAATGTACACCTCCGAAGCCACACTGGAGAAAAGCCATATAGCTGCTCAGAGTGTGGTAAAAGCTATGCGTACAAACAGGGTTTCAATACACACCAGTGCTTCAGTTAGACTAGTACATACTGAAGTGAACCATTACTGAATGGGATCTGTATCAAAGTTGTTGTTACAGCAGAGTGTGCATAACTCTGCAATATGTACCATTAACAAGTTGCAAGTATGTCCATGGTTTTTTTTCACAGAAATTAAGTCTTTTGACAGTGTTTGGAAACGTGTTATACAGAAGCATCTGGAGTTTTCTGTGCATTGACTTGCATGTGTATATTCATTTGAACAGAGGGATAAACAAATATGCTTGAATAAACTTGACAAAGTGAGTGAAATCATGCAAACCACTTTTTTTATTCAGCATGGTTGAAATTACACATTTGCTTACACATGCAATCTAGTTGACATCTGAACTTGAACAACTCAAACTTCTAGAAGCATTGTACGTACTACATACTACTGAAATTAGTTTCTGTAAAGATCTGTAAAGATCAAGTAGTGTTACTGGTCGCTTTACACTAATGGCCCAAAACTGATAGAACATTATAATATTTTAAACAGGGACTGTATTCAGAAAAAAAA